AGACTCTATGTAAGTTAAATGAAAATAAAAAACAACACTGTGTGTGTGTGTGTGTGTGTGTGTGTGTGTGTGTGTGTGTGTGTGTGCTACAAGATAATATAATTTTTGTTATTTGTCCCTTCTCGGGAGTCCTCCTCTGCCAGCTCTTCTTCAAATCCACTGTTCCTTCCCAATAAATCTCTCCCCTTACCATCCCTTTTGAGGCAGGGTCTCACAATATAGTCCAGACTGGTCTTGAATTCTTCTATTTCAGCTTCTTCAGTACCGGAATTCTAAATCCACACCGAACATACTCTCTCACCCCTATAGTTTTAAACCACAAAATCTCATAGTCTTATTTCCGTTTTTGTTCATAGCTGGTTCCTGATGGAGATGGGAAGAGGCATCAAATCTTTGCAAGGATCAGAACTTTGTCTAATGTTCCTTTCTTCAAGTGTGTTTCCAACTTCCAACTGAAGGGCTTAAGTCTAAATGAATCTCTATATCACAGTTAATCATTTAAATCCAAGCAAGGCCCATAGAGTCCTCTGCCTTCAAATCCACCTCACATTCTAAGTCTCACAGTAGCTTGAATAGTTTTTGACTTGATAGAGACACTTCAGATACACATAGGACTTCTCCAGTACATACCTGAAGAGTGTTGGTAATTGTTGTTTTAATTAGGAATGCAAACTATGGGTTGATGAGTATCAGTAATTATTGCTTAGATTGGTGTTATTCTGATTCTTTTGACTTGCAGGGATTGTTTAAAAGAAGTCAAATGTTAAGCTTATTTATTTTTGCTTTTTTTTTCTTTGAGACAGGGTCTGACTGTGCAGCCCTAGCTGATCTGGACCCTGGTACTAGACCAGGCTGGCTTCAAACTCACAGAGAGCTCTCTGCCTCTGCCTTTTGAGTGCTGGGATTAAAAGTTTACACCAACATACCCCACTCTTTTTCTTTTCTTTTTCTTTTTTTTCATTTGAGATAGATTTTCACTCTATAGTCCAGGCTGTTCTCACACTTGTGATCCTCCTGCCTCAGCATCCGGAGTACTGGAATTACAGTTGTATCCTGCCAAACTCAGCTTATTTTCTTCCCAATACTTTCTACATACTCTTTGTTCCAGACAGTCCGGCCCATTGATCTGCTAAGCACCGAATGCCTCCTGTATCCAGGTCTTTTGCCTAGCAGAACAAACCTAGGACCTGTCAGATACTTTGTACTTTATTGAGTCTTTCCATTTATCTTGGAGGAAAGGCACAGTAGTGAGAAAATGGGCTGTCTAGTTGGATTTAAGTGGATTTTTAAATTTTTCATTTACATTTAAAATTTTTATGTTTATTTGTGCATATGTCTGTGTGTGCGTGTGCGTAAGCCATGACACACACATGAGGTCAGAAGACAACTGGTAGGTGTCAGTTCTCTCCTTTTACCACATGGGGTTCCAGGGGTCCAACTCAGGCCGTCGACTTGGCAGCAAGTGATTTTAACCCCTGAGCCACCTCGATGGCTCCCTGTTTTGGGCCTTTTGAGATAAGGTTTCAGGGTAGCCTTGAACTCACACAGTTCTTCTGCCTCAGCCTCTCAATGGTTGAGTTTATAAGTGTAAGTTGCTGTGCCTCCCTTTATGGATTTGATGACAACTGAGCTGTATGTGACTTTGAAGAACTTTCACCTGCTTTTCAGTTTGCATAATTATAGTACCCATCTATGGGCTTTAATATGTTAAGTGAGATGCTCTATGCAAAGTGCAAGCACAGAACTTGGTATACAGTAGGCTCTCAGAGCAAACAACCCTAGTGTAGGTGCCGTTAGGATGAGTCAGTTTCGTGAATTGTCCACACCACACAATTAGCAAACAACAGAAGAAAGAATGGAATTCAGGCTGCTTTTTAACAGGTTTTTACAATACATTGCATGCATGCATGCATGCACAAGTTTATGTGCATGCACACAATTCACTGGCATCAAGAATAATAAATACATACTTCATATACTGCTCAGTAGATCCTTTTCCCCCTAGTCCAGAGTGTCAAAGTTTGGAAATTTTCCAAAGCTGTGACTAAAAGACAGGACTGGTTCTGCTGGGAATGGCAGTGATATGTCCCGATTCTTGCCACAGATTCTTCCTTTGCAAGGTGAGGCTAGTCAACCTGTTATTTAACACGGGGGTTAATTCCATGCTGGCAATATGCCGTGAACTTCTTAAAGAAACATGCCATTATGTGTCAGGCATCCTGCTGGGACAGTGTTCCTATATGTGACAGAATCTTTGAGTCACCAGCCCCCTGTCTGCCAGCACCAGAGAGCTGCACAATACAGAACTTCAGTTCTGTCCAGTCTTGTGCTCTTGACTGTTGGCCTCTCCATTTTTTTTTTTTCCTGATTTTTGGTTTTGAGAGAAACAATAGGAAATGGATTTTTATTTTAAAAGTGCTTCTAAAATGACTTTTATGCACATGAGGGTTTTGCCTGCACAGGTGTGTGGGCACCATATGCATGTCCAGTGCCTGGAGAAGGGAGAAAGTGGCAGTAGACCACTGGAGCCAGGGTCATGGGTGGTTCTAAGTCACCGTGTGCGTGCTGGAATAGAACCCAGGTCCTCTGCAGGGGCAACAGTGTTCTTAACTGAGCCATCTCCCCAGCCTCTTCTTCTCTTTTATCCTTCTGAGTTTTTGAGACAGAGTCTTGCTACGCAGCTCAGGGTGGCCTGAAACTCTTGCTCTCAAGCTTCCCGAGTGTTGGGATTGCACACCCATCCCACCACACCTCCCTTGGACTCTCGGGCTTTTATGTGGATGCTGGAGCTTGAGGAGTCTGATGACTGGTGCCATTACAGGTGAGGAAGTCAAAGGCCTGAGAGGCTAAGTGCTTTCCACATGATGATATTGCTAAGAAGTGGTTTTGTCACAGTATAAACTTAGGTGTTTCTAAGTCAGGCGGTGGTGGCGCACGCCTTTGATCCCAGCACTCGGGAGGTACAGGAAGGTGGACCTCTGTGAGTCTGAAGCCAGCCTGGGCTACAGAGTGAGTTCCAGGACAGCCAGAGCTACACAGAGATACCCTGTCTTGAAACAAACAAACAAACAAACAAATAAACAAACAAACATCAACAAAAACCTTCTAGTGTTTCTAAAGCCAGCAGTCAAGTCCAGCTCACTTACTCAGTGAGTCAGGGAACACAGCCTGGATTTTGGCTACATGACATTTTTGTCCTTTTCTCGTGTACATGTATTGATGATTAGTGGAATTTTCCATAGCCATGTTGGATAACCAGTTTTCCTTATTCCTTAATTCCTTATACCTTATTTAAAACGACAGTGCTGGGGATAGGAAGAGGCAGGGACAGTGATTTTTCTTGCAAGGTTGTGCCATTTGAACTCTCCTGACTATGTATGAAGAAGTTTCTCCACAGACTTTTCTTACTTGAGATTCTTTAGAATTCCAAATTTTGTATCCTCTCATTAAACTGTGAAATACTTAGCACCTTTCTGTCTTGTAAAATGTGTTGTTTTTTGGTTTTTCGAGACAGGGCTTCTCTATGTAGCTTTGGAGCCTGTCCTGGAGCTCACTCTGCAGACCAGGTTGGCCTCGAACTCACAGAGATCCGCCTGCCTCTGCCTCCCAAGGGCTGGGACTAAAGGCGTGCGCCACCACCGCCTGGCTAATGCACATTTCTTAACACTCAAAAGAGTAGTGACCAAAACAATTTTAAATAATGTAACAATGGAAACTGTGGAAATGCATCAATGTACATCTTTGTCTGGAGGATGTGAGCCATCTGGGCCACTTGGACCTAAGATTTTCAATTAATTTACAAAGTTAAATAATAATTTTTCACACCCCAAATTCCACATTTATTTTAAGTTTGAGGATTTTTTTCCCCCCCTTACTGAGTCTGCTTCTTATTTTAGGTCCAGGCCTGATGCTAATCAAACATTACACCCAGCTCTGTTCTGAGTTGTTTTGAATCTACAAAGCACTGCTTCTTCTAGTTTTTGCCAACACTCCCCTCTTTTTCTACCATCCAATAATGATGCTTTTGTTTAGTGAGATGGGTCCAGGTTTCTTTGGTGAGCAATCTCTCTTGTTGCAGTAAGTTCAAATATTTTGTTCCCTACAGGTCAGTTTACAGCTGTGTTCTCTATGGAAGGTTTTTACCGACCCTAAAGCTCCAAAACAACAGCAACAAAACAGAATAAAAGTTCCAGTGAAATCGCTATCTTTCCACCGATTGTTTTTTCAAAGCAATCATCTTTATCTGTAGCTAATTTGAAGCCCGTCAACGAACCAGATTAAAAGTCAAGGCCAAACCCCCTTCCAGTTCCCTTTGCACTCCTGTTAAAAGCAGTCTTTTCTCTTTATGAAAAATCCTTTCCCTAGATTTTTGTCCAACCACTCCACTCAGAAGGCCACCTCTTGGATATGCCCATTCTTAAATCGGTCTCAAATCGTCTCAAGATTTTCCAGTCCTCCGCTGCCCTCTACACCAGCATCTTAATATTTTTTTTTTCCATATCCTTCTCTGAAATTCTTTTCATTACTCAACTGTCTACCCTGAGACTGTAACGTCCAGGTACCACGACCGTGTGACAGCCGCACTCTGCAATGTCCAGACACCTGCCTGAAGTTGTGAGCAAATTGCCCACGGTGTGACCAAACGGGAACTCTCCACTTTACCTCCTCCTTTCCCTTTAAATAAACACTCTCCAAGAGACACCCACTCGGATTACAACCAGCGAGAACTAGGTGAAGGGCATGTGACCTCCCCACTGGCTCGAAATTCTTGCCGTTGCTCTGGGCAACCACTGTTTCCCACTGGACACGTCGTCGCCGCCCCGCCTGTCCCAGTTGGCCCCACCCCAGGACGTCGAGCGCTTAAAAAAACGACACTGGCCCTTTAAGCCGCGAGGGCATTTCTGGTCACGTGGTCCGCGGCCACCGGAAGGGGAAGTTTTTCTGGCGAGCGCTGCCTCGCTTGTCCGAATTCGGTGGCGCCACGTCCGTCGGTCTCCGCCTCCTGCACCGCGGCTGCGTCCCTACTTTCCCTGGCCGAGCCGGCCGAGGAGCGCGGGGTGGGCACGGGAGGACGCGCGGCGCTGCGCAGCCGACCACCTGACGGGTGACCATGTCGGACATCGGGGACTGGTTCAGGAGCATCCCGGCCATCACGCGCTACTGGTTTGCTGCCACCGTCGCGGTCCCTTTGATCGGCAAGCTCGGTATTATCAGCCCGGCCTACTTCTTCCTCTGGCCCGAAGCCTTCCTCTATCGCTTCCAGGTAGTTAACTGGCGTCGGGCAGTGGGGACTACAGCCCCCAGGTGTCCCCGCGGCGGCAGGGCTGGTTCGGTGGGCTGCGGGGCGCGCTAGGGCTGGTGGGATCTGTAGTGCGTCCGGCTCCAGGGGTTTAAGGCGGGGTCCTTTGGGTCTCGGGAGGTCCTGAGGTTCTGAGCTAAGGCCTGGATAACTTAAGAGTCGCATTTTGGTGTGCTGGGAAAGTGACTCACGATACCTGTCTGGCAAGATTGTGCTTCCCGCCTTCCGCACTCTGAAGGAAATAGTGAAAAGGTAAGTTAGTGATGTTACCATGCTGTTGGCAGATTGGGCCCACCTGCCTTAATGTCCTCTGCTCTCCCTCCATCCCCAACGTGGTGATGCCATCTTAATCCGTGGTGTCTACTTGACAGACTTCTAGATGGGTGGTTTGCATGTTTACAGCTTTTCTCTCCGCCTTATAGGAGTGGTTTAAGGCCAGAGATTTAAAACAAAAAGTGTGAATTTATCTGTATTTTCTGCGGGTCCTAATCCAGCACCTGGCATAGACTAGTTAAATGTATCAGTGAATGAGGAAACTACTCAGGAGACGGGAGGTGTCAGTTTTCTTAAGCATTCAGGAAAACACTCAAGATTATCATTCTAGGCCAAAGAATATTAATTTCCTAGAGGTTATTTTTATCGTTTCTGTGATATAAATCAGGGGAAGCTCAGATTCCAGGATTAGATAAGAATCTCACCACATTCCTTGGCCTTCTCTTTCTGCTCTTCTCTGGCTGTTATTTTGTAGTCTCCTTTGCTGATTTCTCATTTTCCTGACCTATAGGATCCCTCTGTAGTCACTCCCTAAACATGGGAGTCAGATCTTACCAGTCAAGGGCATAAATACGTGAATGGGAGATTGTCAGATCCACAGGTATCTCTAGTGTAGTGGTGGAAATCACCACTTGGTGACCAGTAGACATCTAATCAAATCTCCTTTTTGTCTTTGCCCAAGAAGTAAATAGCAAATGCGTTGCTAGAGGAGTTTAAACTGACAGTCATAGAGACATCCCTGAGGGTTTTTTGCCTTTACTTTCTTTTCTAGTGCTGGAACTCAAATCCAGGGCATAGCATGTGCTAGGCGCGTGCTCTGCCATTGAGATACATACCTTGTACAGCCCCTTGACAATCTATTAAGAAGGCCCTTTTGATCCTACCTCAACTGTATATCCAGAATACAGACAGGTCTTTCTCTTTCTCCATTGCAAGCTGTTACCATGCCAGCTTTGCTCTTTCTGTTCTCAGTGGGCAGGCTAGAGTGGTCCTGTTAAAACGTGGGTCACGTCCTGTCAGTCTCCCTGGAATCCTCCAGTATCTGAAATTTGATGAGGAAAATCCTTGCCTGCTTGCTGTTGACCCAAGTCTACCCCGGGGCTTTTGTACATGTTCTTCCTCTACTGAGGAAGATAATCATGGCTCACTCATTTACCTCTGTGTCTCCTTCATGACTCTGCCCAAATGCCAGTTTACTTAAGGCCTTCTCTGATTGCTCTCCATCTGATTGAATCTCCATCCTCCTTTGCTCTGTTTCCCTTGCCTTCTCTTCTCCCTGCTCTATGCCATCTGTTGGTAGGGTCTTTACCACCTGCCTTTGATACCTAGACCAGTGCTGGGCCCATTGCAGCTGCTTATATGTTGCTCGAGTTCATGGAAGTAAGTGGAGGCTTGCTATTTTCTGGGCACTTACTACAATAGTGAATTAGACAGAGGTTCTGATCCTATAAAAAAAAACAGAGGGAGGCACGTGGTTAAGGAGAATGATTTAAGGTACCGGTGTTTCTGAAAAGTCTAAGAGGACACTTCGAGAATGTCTTTGGTTGGATCTGGCTTTGGACCTCACCTTCCAGAAAGTAGGAATAATAAACTTGGAAGATGGGGCAAAAACTGGGAATAGAAAGAGCCAACTGAAGTTGTGAAGCCTGGTAGATGAAGACAGGGAGTTAACCAGGGGTGCACACTGGAGAGCAAAGCGGGGAAGGTAGATTAGGGCTGGATCATAGAGGGCCTTGTAGTTCATGGTAAGAGGCTGAAATTTGAATTTTTTGCGCTGCTAAGGATCGATCCAACCTAGGGCCCTAGGGCATTGCACATGCTTGGCAAATGCTCTCTACCTTTGAACTTTTCTTTGAGAGCACCAGTGACACCTGGGAGGATTTGAACCAGACACTGAAAGATGACTGCCTACTCTGAGGAGTGGAGTTGGTTTGTTGGGAAGTGCTGGGTACTGGAATCAGAGAGAGAGAAATTAGGAGGCCAGAAAGATGATGGTTTGGATCGAGGTGGCTGTGATAGGTTTGGCAGTTAGTGTGGACAGGATTGTCACTAAATGGACTCAGAAGGTGAGCTGATAAAGGAAAGTGGACTCAAGGATAGCATTGTTTTGCAGGAGTGACTGACAGAGGCCTTTATGAAAGTGGGAATGTTTAGAGGGGCTTGCCGTATGGTTTGAGGTGTAGATTGTGGTTGTTAAATCTTGAGGTGCTTTTCAGGCATCCTAGTAGAGACAACCTGCAGCAGTTGGTTGTAAGAACATGGTTCTAGAGCACAGCCTGAATTGCATACTGTTTTCAATTACTTGCTTTGATAATTATGTTTTGGCAGAGTGCTGTTGTGCACCTTGTACCTTGTGGCATGTTGGGTAATGTGTGTGCATGAGGAGTGTTGGCTGTAAATCATTTTATGAGAACGCGTTTGAAACAGACTCTTTGAGCCGTCTTGTGAAATCTTGCTCACTTGTAGCCAGATTGGTAGAATAATCAACATCAAAAGCCTTTCTAATAAGCTACAGATACAGCAATATTAAAAGCAGGGAACTGACTAGAGACATCATTTGTGTCACACCTCAAGTATGGATGCCTCAGCCCCCTCGGATGCAGATTTGTGGCAAACCTAGTAGAAACCATGCAGAAAGATGGAAAAGCACAGAAGGTGTGCTCTCACAGTTTCTGCAGGAGCCGCCTCTCCTTAGGCACTCCATCTGTGTCAGCTCAGAGAAATTGTGGGATAATTGATTTAGAATTGTACATTCACAATTTGAAGTAACTAAAGATATATTCCTCCTCCTTTGTAGATCACTTTTGTGTGATGGGATGCTTTAAAACTAGAAACTTTAAAGTGCTGTTTCTCTAGTTTGGATAACAGAACACAGCAAGTGTGCTAAGACTCACTACTTGGCTGTCCATAGTTTCTCCCTATCAGGTACTTCCCAGTGATGGAGTGTCTTCATATTTGCCCCTGATTACAAGAGAGGTGTCTGTTTCCTGATGCCTTAGTATTTGCTGAAATTATATGCCCCTGTGGAGCCTGCATTAAATTTCATTTTTTTTTTTTTTTTTTTTTCGAGACAGGGTTTCTCTGTGTAGCTTTGCGCCTTTCCTGGAACTCACTTGGTAGTCCAAGCTGGGCCTCGAACTCACAGAGATCCGCCTGGCTCTGCCTCCCGAGTGCTGGGATTAAAGGCGTGTACCACCACCGCCCCGGCAAGTTTCATTTTTTAAAAACAAAATAGCATCATTCCCTTTGATCAGTATTGTGCTTTTCTATATGTATGTTATCTCAGCTTCCACACTGTCTTGAGATAGTGCTGGCTCGTTTATGAACACCTACAGCTGGCTTCTGTCTCAGCTAGTTAAGAGTGGTCTAAGTTGTCTTAAATTCCTTGCTAGCCCCTCACTCCCAAGTGTTTAGCAGAACATTTTGAAAAGTGATTTCTTCCAAATTAATTATAGAAAATGATTTTTCCTTTTTCCCTAGAAGGCCATAAGGTGTCGTGTACTTGAGTCATTTAGGATAGGAAGATTGCAGGCTTTCAAGTAGTTGGGTTTTGACATCAACTCAACTACTTACAACTCAGACTCTTACAGGTTGTGTGCCATGAACCAAGTTATTTATCTGTCTGGACCTCCACTATCCTTACTGAAAAGCAGAAATATTATAATGACGTGCAAACTCACCAGTTACAGGACTATTGACTACAGGGCTCTTCAGTTTAATGCTGGTTTTTAATGTAGAAATTACAGTAAATGAATATATTAATTATAAGATAAGTCCTAATTTCAGAAACACAAACAAAAGTGCCTTCAAATCAAGGGAACTATATTAGTTGTTTCATACCTCTCAAGTATAGCACACAAAATATTGTTTGTATAATAACCAACAAATAGTCTTAATAAGTAAACTATTGAAATAGTTTACTATTTTTATTTATTAGTAGTAATAAGAGACTTTAATATTAATTTAAATCAGAAGTATAAACCCCACTGGGGAAGCAGAGGCCAGGCTGGGCTGTACAGCAGGTTTCAGGCTCGCTTTGCTAGAGAGTGAGACCCTATTCCAATAAAGTGAAAAATAAACAACGGCAAAAATAAAGAAGGTCACTGGGGGCTAGGGATGTGGCTCAGTTGGTGTGGTGCCTGCCTAGAATTCCCAAAGCCTTGGGTTTGATCCCTGATACCACATAAACACCACATAGGCATGGTGACATGTAATGTAATCCCAGCACTCCAGGGTGGAGGCAGGAGGATCCAAATTCACAATCATCCTTGCCTATACAATAGCTTCAAGGATAGTCTATCTTAGAAAAAAATAGAAAGAACTAGTAAACAACAACAAAAGGCCCCTAACTTAAAGTGGGAAGACGTGAGCGCTCAGCTTCTCTAACTTGTTTCCCAGAGTCAGAAGTGGCACCAGCCACATCTGTGCTGCAGACAGGTGCTTCCATTTCCCAGCTTCTGCTTATCTTGTCGCATTTAACCCAGTGACTTCAGGTTGATTTAAGTGTATTTAAGAGTATGCTTTATATACAGCTGGGAGGAGAGTAAACTTGGACTGTAAGCTGACATGTAGCAGCAGCAAGAGGGCTAACACCATCATTCAGCACACACATATATGATCATCTTGCTTGGAGACCCATGTGTGTGCGTGTGCGTGCGCGTGTGCGTTCGTGTGTGCGCGAGTGTGTGCGT